TTTTTTTTTTTTTTTTTTTTTTTTTTTTTTTTGTAACTGTAGCTCTTGAGGGAACTGAAGTGATTAGGGATTGGGAGTTTCAGGTTTTACTTCTTAACTTAAACATTTTTTTAAAAATATGTTTAGTTTCAGCTACTGTTTTAACCAAGTGCAACAAGACTGATCTGGCAAATTCTCCATTTTGGTAAATTATGCATTATTGCCTGCAGTCCTGACAAGGGAGGCCCTGCTTTGGGACCTGTGAATTAAAGGACCCTGTTCTGCCTGGCCACATTTCCCTAGAGGATGAAGGACCCTAAGAGGTCCAGGGGGTGTGCCCAGCCTAGGCTCTCACGCCACCTACCCCCATGTTCTGAGTACCTGACTTGAATTTTCCTGACCCCAAATAGCTTAAAGTCTGTCTGCATGTACTATATTGTGGAACTTCAAGGAGTCTAGAAATTTTAAATTCCTTCTGGTACCTCCAGGTGGTTGAAGGTATATTTGTTAAGATTTGAGGGAGTGACCATATTTTATTTAATAGTTTAACTTGATATATAACTTTTAAATATTTAGACATATGGAACGTGGATTTCCTTCTGTAATCATAACCTGATTCTTAAAAGGGGTCTAAAGAGGTGGGCTTGGAATTTTTCATTTGGTCTTTAGTCAAAACATTTGTTTGGTAACTCTTAATGGAAATTTTCACAGTATTGTTAAATATGTATCTGCCTGTTGACAAATATTTATGGAATTTCTGTAATGTCCAGTGCAGTTGGGAGGTGTGTAAACTCTGTTCTGTAGGAGGACAGCAGAGAAGTAAATGATATGGATCTTCATCTGGTTTAAGGAGAGTTATTTTTAAAAAGTGGGGTGTGGGGGGGATAAATTTATTTTTGAAAAATGAAGGGGGGTAACTGGATTGTTCAGTGAACTGAAGTTCACTGCAAAGGAAATCTGAAAAGATGAGCTAAGATCTATATATTGTCCCAGTAGTTCGTGGAATAGTATATGTAACACTCACTGTCCATGAAAAGACTTAAGTGTTTATAACATATGGGTGAGTCTTTGCATTTTTTGAAATCAGTGTAGGTCGTTCATAGGTGCTGATAAATTTGGCTTTAAAGGCGAGAAAGGTGACCAAAGTAAGTTATGGAGCATTCTGGCTATTTAATGTGTATAAGAGGAGAGACCATCTTAGCCATTATTTGTTTAGTGAATGAAACTGCCAGAGAGGTGGAACATAAATCAGGGGGGCTAGCTTGGGATGCTTCTGGTGTAGCCATACCGTGTGGCTATCCCAAGCCTTACCTTACCCTGATCTCCTAGAAAAGATTAAGAACCCAACTTCTATGACATAATTTCCTTAAAAGAACCTGTTTTATATTGTCAAAGCGAATGAGTTGTAGACACTCTCTATTCTCATTTGAAGAACTGTGAAGAGCTGAGTTAGGAAAGGCACATGGAGAGAAGGGCTTGTTTAAGGTTCCACGTCCTCACTGGGGTTAGAAATACTTACACAAAGTCTCAGCTTTCCGGACCTGAGAGACTGCTCATTCTCTGTTCCCTGAGTATAGCAGATAAACTTTAAAAAGAAGTAACTAACTAGTTAACTTTTGGTGGGGGGGCAGGTGCTGGTGAACTTATTTAAAAAAAAAGAAAGGAGGACATCAGAATATAAGTCCTCGTGTCTCTTTATTCTGCTGAATGAAAAAGATTGAAGAGACAGTTAACCTTACATAACTGAAATGAATTAGAGATGAAGTGGAGATAGTCAGTACAGACTATGGTTTCAAAAACTTGTCTGCAAAAGGAAGGAGAGGGAGGGTGAGCGCTGCAGCAAGATGAGACATTAGACAAGCAGCAGGGGGTTCCTGAGCGACTGGGAGAATTTAGCTTTGGAGAAGAGTGGAGAAACTGTTGAGATGGAGAGAAAGGCTGAGGCAGTTGTGAGATGCAGGAGAGGAATGACCTTTTCAGTTTCTCCTGAAGTAGCAAGTTAGATCACCTATTCAGAGAAGCTAGAGGGGGTGAAGCTGTGTTTTCATGTCTGTACATTTCACTCTTGCTAATCTTAGAACCCTGATCCCCTTTCTGCCATCTTGGTGTACAGAGTCCCAATTCTTTCTCATCACCTTGTTCCAATGTCATCTCCTTTTTTTGTGCTTTGGCTTTTGTTTTGTTGGATGGTTCCTCAGCCCTTCCAATTGAAATGAATCACACACATTACTCCATAGGTTAGCTGTATTATATTGCTCGTTTAACTTGCTTTGTAAAAAGTCTTTAAGTCTGTCTCCTCCATTAAAGTGTTGAGTGTTGAGGAGTTGGCCAGTCCCTTACTCATCATACAAATTAGGGACTCAATGAATAATTTGTTAGATGAGTTGCGGACTAAAGTACAAACGCTATTATTATTTAGTAGAGCTGGCTGTACTAAGTACCTGCTTGAATTCTGAGATAGTTTATTTGCATAATTCTGTTGCCATTCAAAATATTTGTCACAATGGGATTATCTTCTGCAGCGGAAAACATTATGCCCAACAGTTTAATTCATCTTGAGTTTTCAGAAATGTCATCTGTTTTAATGTCAAAGAAGTCACTCATATGGTGCAGACTGCTATTCATGCTAAAGTAGGACTTAGAAATTTTCTTTTTTAAAATTTTATTTATTTATTAAAGATTTATTTGTTATTTATTTGAGACAAAGCATGAGCAGAGGGAAGAGGGAGAGGGAGGTCCGATGCGGGGCTTGATCCCAAGACCCTGGGACCACGACCAGAGCCGAAGGCAGATGCTTAACTGACTGAGCCACCCAGGCGTCCTTTCCTTTCTTTTCCTTTCCTTTCCTTTCCTTTCTTTTCCTTTTGCTATTCCTTTCCATTTTTAAAAAAAAATTTTTAAAGTTTCTTTTTAAAATTTATTTGTTTGACATAGAGAGACACAGCGAGAGAGGGAACACAAGCAGGGTGGGTGGGAGAGGGAGAAGCAGACTTCCTGCCAAGCTGGGAGCCTGACGTGGGGCTCGACCCCAGGACCTCAGGATCATGACCCGAGCTGGGCAGATACTTAACAACTAAGCCACCCAGGCGCCCCTTTTATTTTTTAAAGACTTTTGTTTTTAATTTATTCATATGTGTGAGAGAGCAAGCCAGTGAGAGCATGAACAAGGGGGAGGGGCAGACTCCCTGCTGAGCTGGAAGCTGGACACTGGTCCATCCCAGGACCCTGGGATCAAGACCTGAGCCAAACGTAGATGCTAAATGACTGACCCACCCAGGACTCTGAAATTTTCTATCGCAGTATCTCATGTATTCTAGCCAACCAACAAATAAATCTAAACATCAACAATGTGCAGAATAGTAAGTTGATTCTAACATGTGGCTCCTGGTCTCAGAAAGCTTATTCAGTTGGGGGGAAAGGGGAGCATGAAATTGTGAAGTAAGTAACACAGAGTAAAAAAAAATAACAGCCCCAGCAGCAGTACACCAGTGAGCGCTATGTTGATGGGACAGTGAGGGCAGGGGAGCGTGGGAGGTAATGGTCGGGGTCAGCCCCGTGGAGACAGGCTGTGAGCTGGGTTTAGAAGATGGTCTAGGATTTCGCTGGCTGAAGATGGGAAGGTAAGGTATTTCAGGTAAAGTGAATGGCAGAGGAGAAGAGAGCATGGTAGTAAGGAGAGGGCAAGAAGTGTTTGGAGAGAAATGAACTAGTCTGAGAAGTGGACTATTAAATATACAAGGTGTCTGGGGTCCTGGCCCAGGATGAGTAGTTGGCATTTGAAGGAGCTGGGTCCCCAACAAGGCAGCTCTCCCTCCAGCACCACAGAGAGGATACACCACAGGTATTGAGAGAGGATAATTGGTGAGGAAATGTCCACACAGAAATGAAAGAACTTCCGTAAACTAATTTTCACCGACTCTACTGAATAATGGCTTAGTTGTAGAGGTGTATAGATCCTAATCTTCATAACTATATAAATTTTCTGCTTCATCAGAACCGCTAGTGAGCCAGAGTTTTTATTGAAATCTTGCTGGATAAATGCATATTCATTGAAGTCCCCCCACCCCGCCCCGAGCAAATGATAAATCTCTGTTTTCTGAAGGTTGTTTTCATATATTTGTTTATGTTAAATTTGGGATGAGAAGGAAAGATTGATCTGTGTAATGGTTAGCATTCAGGATAATGATTATTATATAACAATAAGTGATATTTTTTTTAAGAATAAATGATATTGACCATGTATGGACTTATTGCTACTGTTTTGGTAGTTCTTGTGGTTATTATCTTCCAGTAGTATACATTGGTGTTAGTTCACATAGTTGTCCAAGGGAATGAAAGGGGAAAGAGAACTGAACACTGAGCATGCACCATGTCCCAGACATTCTGTTTCATGTACATCCCCTCATTCCAGCATCACAGGAATCCTGTGATGTGGGTGGCATCACTCAGCATTTCTCATAAAAGGACACGAAGGCTTGGAGAGCTCATGTGCTTCTCTAGCGTACATAGCCAGGAAGCAGCTCTTAGGTGAGCTGGGAACTCTGGGTTCCTTGTGAAGCCTGGGGTTTCTCCTTACCGGTGCTGCAGTCCACTACTTTGTCCAGAAAGATTTCCTGCTAAAGCCTTTCCATGCCCTGCCCATTTGTTCTTGCCTGATAGGCAATTATATCTCTACTTACTGAGTATTCTTGGGCGTGGTGCCTCATTTGTTTGTGGGACTGTCTCCTTCACTAGACTCTGAATTGCCTGAAGGCAGAGACCAGGTCTGTTTCAGCTGGTGTCCTAACAGAGTTCCCGGGCTGTTGTAGAGGCTTTGTAAAATGTCAAGGGAGGAGAGAAAGGCATTTCAATTTATGTCATCGGGTTGCTAACACCAGAGTCAGCCACTCCTCCGGCAAAGGTAAATTGCTCTCCACAGTTGACACATGTGAGCGATTCTTGTTTACATGACTAGTTTGGGCATATGGAAGAATTTGATGTCCATACTCTGCTTCTTGAAATTCATAAACAGAGATTCACTAAACAAACAACTAAGAAACCAAAGCAGAGACAGAACATGTTCCTGACAGTTTGTGGGACCCAAAACGATGCTGTTAGTAAGTCTTTCATTGCCTCTTTTTTCACTTAGACTAGAAATCTGTTGAACTTTTGGGATTGCTGAAAGAATAGGCCTTCTCACATCATTTCCTATTATTTAGAGATTCCTGTATTACAGATTAAATTAACAGCTTTACAAGAGCATCGCTCTTTGGTCTCCTGTAGTTGTTCCTTATGGGGTGTGTTCTGAAACTGCTTCGTGTAATGGAATTCGCAGGGGTATATGCCTTGGCAGGATCTCATAGATAGAGAATCTGTGTCACAGATCACAGGAATCACTCAGGCAGAGTCTGGTTGCAACAGGGAGGCAAAAGTGTCTCCTTCCAGAAGGCTGATAGCTTCAAGGGAGAGGTATGTAGTTTCTGTGAGAGAGGATATTACTTTTCCAAGTAAAAGGAGAAATTACCTTTTTGAAAATACAATCCTTAGCATCCACTAGAAGGAGACCGAAGAATCATTAGAGCTGTTTTTATCATCTGAAACCAAGAACTTGAACTCTGCTAGTATTTTACCCTCTTCAGAAGGTCTAAGGTCTTGTAGCATCTTAGCAGTCCTCTTGTGTTGCCAGGGGAGCAAGATGAGTCATAATTAGTTGCAGCATATTGATACTTGGTATATTACTTTCCCTCCTAACAAAGTACTACACACCAAGTGGCTTAAAACAACAGAATTTATTTTCTCACAGTTCTAGAGACTAATGTCCAAAATCAGGATGTCAGTAGGGGTCCTTCTGGAGGCTCGAGGAGAGAATCCTTCTTCTTTTTTCCAAGCTTCTGGTGGTTGCTGGAAATCCTTGGTTCATAGATGTGTCACCCCAATCCCTGCCTCCGTCTTCATGTCCCCTTCTCTGTGTCTCCGTGTTTACACATGGCTTTCTTATAAGGACACCAGTCACTGGATTAAGAGCTCACCCTAATCCAGTATGATCTCATCTTAACTAATTATAACTGTAAAGACCTTCACTCCAAATGAGGTCACATTCTGAGGTTCTAGGTGGCCATGTGTTTTGGGAAGACACTCTTCAACTCGGGGTATCTGATAATATTGTATGTACAGTATTTCCCTAACAGTGTTCTAACAGTTGATTAGGAAACAATTTGGTGAATATGCAGTATGATACCTTCAGGAAGAGGTATCCAAAGATATTATCCTGTAGGCAGAGATAAGAAAATATTACAATTGGAAAACACCTTCATTTTTCTACAGCTAATGACACCCTTCCCTAGATTAAGTGACGTGTTGGTAGGTCTCACGTTAAGATAGTTGGGCAGAGCTAGGATTTCCCTGACCTTTCTGTCAGGTTTTCATTTTATGATACCAGTCTAACTTTTTTCATACAACTCAGACAGCCCAACCACAAGGAATTGCCCTAGGATGGTCACTAACGAATTGAAAGCTTGTGTCATTCCATGCATCTAGCCATTGCTAAAATGATGAGGTGTTTTTTTTTTTTTTTTAAGAGAATTTGAGCTTTTAATGTAATGAGATGTTTTGGATGAGTTGTTTATTACTGTGGGTTGTAATGAGCCTACAGGGACTGAACCCAAATGGTGAGGTCATGCTCTACAGTGATGACAGGTAGCCTACGAATAAAGCATTTCGGCTGCTATCCAAGTTGAGCCTCCAGCTGGGCCACCCTTGCTGGAGAGGTCCTGGTGCATTCCAGGTTTTGTACTTAGAGAATAATTTTTTTTTTTCCTGCTTAGCAGTAAGGGTCCTGGGGTGCTGACATGCTGCTTGCTTTCTGTGTATTCATACAGTGTAATTCACTGAAGATGGTTTCGTCAAAGGAGATACTTATTGTTGTGGAAGTTACTATGTCATCAGTATTTGTGTAGATCACAGACCTTCTCAGAATGTCTCAAGGACCAGCTTCTCTGACATAACTGTCTATTCAATGACAGTTATGTCATTGTACATGTCACCCTGTCATCTTTTGTTCAGTACCTGCATGTTCCCTTAAAACTCTGTCAGGTGGTGGTGAATGCAGATGCCAAGGGCATTCTTCGGCCCGGGATTATTTTATGGCATCTCCATTGCAATTATGAAATTTTGATGGCCTTCGTGGTCCCCCTTCTACACTGATTCTGTAGCATGCATATCTGTACGAACACCCAGATTGCCCTGTGTTTTAAATTGGTGGTGAGGTGATCCGGTAGAGTATGTGGTAGGTTGAAGTCATTTATACACTATCTCCAGAAGTTACTGGCCACAAAGGAGGCCTTATGAGCACATTGTATTACTATTTCAGAAGGTGGTCATCTTCTTATCTTGGCCACATCAAGTAGTTTATCTGTGTTCAAGAAAGGCAATGGCTAGGAATTGAGGAGCATATTAGGTTCTGAGTAACTTTCTTTTAGTCTTATACCTCAATAATCTCTCTCTCCTCCCTGGATCCTGCCCATTGGTTTTATTTTTGTTTTTTAAAGATTTTATTTATTTACATATTTATTTAAGATTGAGAGAGAGAGAGAATGAGCAGAGGGAGAGGATGAGGGAGAAACAGACTCCTGATTCACATGGGGATCGATTCCAGGACCCTGGGACCATGACCTGAGTTGAAGGCACACGCTTAACCAATTGAACCACCCAGGCACTCTGCCCGTTGGTTTTTAAACATACTTGAGGTTTATGGGTTTTTACAAAAATATTTATTTATTTGAGAGAGAGCGAGAGAGCGCAGAATGAAGAGATAAAGGGAGTGAGAGAGGGAGAACCCCAAGCAGACCCCACTGAGCTGCAGAGCCTGATGTGGGGCTTGTTTTCACGACCCTGAGATTATGACTTTGAGCCTGATCAAGACCCAGGCACTTAGCTGACTTTGCCACCCAGGTGCCGCTGTTTTTTTGTTTTGTTTTGTTTTTGTTTTTAATGAGAACAAAGACTTCACAGCTCTTCCCTATCCACCTTGTGTTCTGTCTCTCTTCTCTCCATATAATCACACTTCTCACAAGAATTGTCATAGTAGTGACTTTCTGCATTTCCCTACTCCCCTCTCCACCCCCTGCCACCAGTGACTCGGACCGGACCCCTACAGTTCGGCTGCCAATGCCATCAGTCTATCCAAACAGCTCCGGTGCTGGTTACAGAAAATCTCCTTGTGAGTCTGTCCAGCTGACATTCTTAAGTTGTCATCATGTTTGACCTCCCTGCAGCATTTAGCTCTGCTCTTTCTTCCTGAAATAGTTTCTTTACGCACATCCACAAACCTGTACTCTCCTGGTTTTCTTCCTGTTTTGTCTCCATTTTCATAAAGGATGTCCATTAGCTAGCTTTGGTTTGGTATTGGAGTTTCTCCACGTTCCTCCTAGGCCTTCATCTCTCCTCTCTCTGGGCTGTCTTTACTTGAGTCATGGCTTCATTTATTCATATGACAGTAACACTTAACTTTTTGATCTCTCTTCAGACCATTTCTCTGACATTCCCATTCCTTCATATTTCCTGTTGAATATCTCAAAGAAACCTGCAGTTCGCTAGGTCCAGAATCAGACTCATGTGCCTCCCACATACCTAGTCTTTCCCAGAGTTCCCTATTTCTGTGAGTGTAACCACTGTCCACTCGGTTGCATGAGCTGGGCTCTGTAGAGTCATTCTCCTTCCTCTTTGCTCGACTCTGCCCAGTCCATCACTGACTGGTTTTTACCTCCCAAATACCTCTCAGCTTCCACTCCATCATCCTTCTCATTATCATCAACTCCTATCACCACCACCATCTCTCTGTTCATCGTCTCCTCCTTGGACCCTCCGTTGACCTCCTCACTGGTCATCCCATATCCATTCTGTCTCTTCCAGTCTGGTTTCCATATTGGAGATAGAAGGATCTTTCCAAAATACACATTTCATTTTGTCCTATCCCCTGCCAAACCTCTCCAGTGGCTTTCCCTTACTCTTGGGCATAGGGCCAAAGCCTTCCCATGGCCCGTGTGACCCTGCTGGATCTGGTCCTTTCCTCCACAGCCTCCTTTTGCTCAGTGCCCTCCCTTCTGGAGTTTCAGCCTCAGTTACTCTCAGACACTTACGCTTAACCAGCTTCCGTCCTCTCAGGGAGCTCTGCCTTCAGTGAGCTTCCTTTCTCCTTTCCTGCTTAACTCTCATCCTTCAGATTTCAGTTTCATTTTTATTGCCTTGGGGAGGTCTTCCTTGGTCTTCCAGGAGTTCCATCCTCGGATTATAAATGTTCATAGCACCGTGTGCCTGTCCTCTGTAGCGGCTGTCTGAGTTGTCATTTTATACTCGTTTATGTGATTACTTGATGAATGTGAATATTCATCATAAGCTCCACAAGGCAGCGACCGTGTCTGCTTGACTCTTCGTTACATCCCTGACACCCAGCACAGTGCCCATGAATTGCAAGGGCTCTGTAAATACTCACAGACAAATTAACGAGTGCTTTAATTAATATCGTCTGTTGCATGGACAGTACATAGGGCTAAGACCACAGGCACTGGAATCAGACTGCCCGAGTTCAGTCACAGCTCTGTCCTCCCAAGTTGTGTCACCCTGGGCAAGTTGCTTTACTCTCTGTGCCTTAGTTTTTTCAACTGTAAAATGAGGATAATAATTACAACGATTTTATCGGGTTGTTGTGAGGATTTTCTGACATGGTACACATACAAAGCTCTTAGAACAGTACCCACGCATGTCAAGTGCTCTGTGGTATTAGCTCCTTTCCTCATCATTGTCTTAGCAACAGCAGCGCCTTCCATTGGTGGTAACCAGGAAGACAGTGACAATCCGTGTCCTGTGGAGTTAACGGACCAGTTCTGAGGGGAGTTAGTATCTTAATGGCAGCTTTCTCCTTAGGATGGTTCCACTTAATTCTGGTCCCATCTTTCGATCTTTGCTGTGTCACCACAGTAATTCACCAGTGATTTGCAAAGACTTGGACTGTCAAAGACTAATTTTTCTGCCCAAAATGTTCTCATCTAGGTTGTTGCCTTTTACCTTCATCACTCACAGGAAAAGGTTGGACTCAAAGAGATGTGCAGATTACTGAAGATGCTCTGAAAGGTATTCAAAGAAGATGTAGCAAATTTCGTATCAGGGAGACACCCTTACTCTAGCGGATTGAGAAGTGTGGGAGGAGGGAATGCTGTCAGCCATGGGGACTCTGCCAGTCTCTATTTATTTAGGAGTCTGAGTTTTATAGACCCAACGTCCAGACAGCTGTCTGTGCCCCTACAAAGTTTTACAACACTAGGAATCAGTCTTGTTTCATAAATCTTTTCTTAACCATTTCCGTCCAGGCATATAGAACATTCTCTGTGTGCACAAGTATTTTGCTGATGTTTGCTTGGAGCTAATCTTTTATATAAACTGTAGAGCTGAACCACCGTTCTCATGTCACTGATATTTAGATGGCAAAGTTCAGAGCCCAGAGGGACTGGGGTGGCATTTCCATGTCAATCACCTTTGAAGGCATTCCTCCCAAAGTACCTTGACAACAGCAGTCGTGAAACCGACCCCCCAAAGAGCCATCTGACATTTATTCTTTCCTATAAAGCCTGAGAACGCACGAGAGCCAAAACGTGTGAAGGAAGCAGTTATTCTTTTATAGCCCTTCCTGCCGCCGGATTGCCGTCACCTGTGTTAGTTACTCACCTACGCAGTGATCTGAGACATTCTTGAACACAGGCTGCCTGCTTGCTGACTCCAAGCTTACGGCTGCAGAGAGGAGAGCAGCATTAGATAAGTCCCAGTCCTTGGGGTTCAGTGGGGGTTCCGTGTTGGCCTGTGTTTCTTTGTTTTACTGTGGGATGCTACAGTGACTCAGGGTCATGGTACCCCCGAGTTTTTGTTTCCCAGGTGGGTGCCCCTCCCTGTTTATTTACTGCTTCTACAGCTCTGCACCTTGAGTGTGGGCTCCACAGTCCACCCATCTCCAGCTTTGCCTCCTTACTGATGGGGGAATAACCCTTTCACAGTTATTGGTGAATATTGCATTTTTATAAATATTGGCTTAGCGTCAAAGACCACTATCAGCATAGACCTTCAGCTCACTGAAGCCAATTACACGGTTGCAAAAAGACTGCTAACCGTATTGGCACATAGAACAGCACAGCTTTTCCGTCCTCAGCAATAGCTCAGGTCCAGCACGTTTCCTGGACTGGAGAGAAGTCAAAGGAGGGCAGCTTCTTCCTCCCTGAGCTTGTCTATTATAGATGGGAGGGAAAGAGGCTAGAAAAATGCCTTTCAGCGGATTGCATGGTGTCATGGTTTGCGTATGTGGTGTGGTGTTTTGATGTCCGTGCTGCCAGGCCTCTCCCTTGTGCTATTTCTCTTTCTTCATGATTCACTCCTGCAGCTTGGTTAGCCCTACATCTGTAGTTCTCGAGGCCGGGGCCCATTCTGTCCTCCTGGGCCCGAACTCGGACTCTAGATGCTTCCTTGGCAGTCCTACCTGGGAGTCTCCAGCACCCCTCTGGTTTAGCATGTTCTAACTGGAGAGCATTCCCTTTTCTCCAGCATGTGCTGTTTCTCCTCATCCCTTCAGTATGTGGCATCACTCAACAGCCCCAACCAGAAATAGTTGTTACAGTAGATGCACATTTCCCCTCCGTCCTCCCAGCAACCTCTGCTCTGGCCTGCTGACCTCAGAACACTCTCCAGACTCTCCCTCCAGGTCTGGTCCCACTGGTACTTTTAAAATACCTGTCTCACGTGTTCTGCTTGGGCTGCTGCAAGAAGCCCCAGATCGGTCCTACTATGTGTTGTCTCTAGTTCCCGCCAACTCCTCTGCCATCAGATATTCACAGTTCTGATGTATTCATGCCACTCCTCTTATGAGACTCTAAACGGCTTCCAAAACGATAAAACTCAGATCCTTCAATTCCTGCCCATTTTATCAGCTTCAGTGTCAAAACCCTCCTACCCAAATAGCAGACTTGTTCTGTTCATACATCGGTGTCCATGGACATGGAGTCCCCTTGCTCACTGCCTGCTTCCCTCCCCTCGAGAAGCTCCTCGGCTGTCTCTAAGAATTGGCTTAAAGCCCCAAATCCATTCTTCTGAGAAGCCCGCCCGACTCCAGGGCAGAGTAAAGCGGACTTCTTAAGGTTCTCATAGCACTTGGTTCAAATTTATACTTTAGTATTAATGTGATACTTATTAGTTTACGTGTATGTTTTATTTATATGATCATGTATGAAATAAGATAGCATATATAGTTCCAGAAAGGGTCTGACAAATAGGAGACATTTCATAAGTGCAAATTTCCTTGTTTTCTTGACCTCCGTTAGCCTGAGCCACTTGAAGGCAGGAAACATATGACATGCACAGCCCTTACACAAATTGGAACCTCAGTAGTAGTTTCAGGGGAATTAAAGCCAACCAGTTTCATTTGCATTTCTGCCCAGAAGTTTTTCTCCTTTCCCTTTCATTCTTACAGTCTAGTCAGCCTTCTAGAAGTCCTTGTTTCCCATCAGCTCTTTGCTTTGGAGGAGGTGATTATACTTTCCTCCCTGCCTCTGTCAAGTAGGGCCACTCAGAGTTCCTGGTAGAGACCACTGTTGACTCACTTGGCCTTCATACATCAGGGGCACATGTCAGGGGAAGGCATCCTGGTGGTTGAGGTATGAACTTAGCTTCCAGAGAAACCTGCATCTCAACTCCAGCTCTCCCATCTTTTAGCTGATTAATCATGAGGAGGTGGTTAACCTTACATAAGCCTTACTTTACTCGCTGTACATTGGGAATAATAATATGTGCCTCTTGGGGATTTATGAGGATTACATGAAATAATTTATACAGGGGCACCTGGGTGGCTCAGTCATTAAGCATCTGCCTTCAGCTCAGGTCATAATCCCAGGGTCCTGGAATCAGTCCCCACATCGGGCTCCCTGCTCAACAGGAAGCCTGCTTCTCCCTCTTCCTCTGTCACTCCCCCTGCTTGTGTTCCCCTCTCTTGCTGTCTCTCTCTCTCAAATAAATAAATAAAATCTTGAAAAAAAAAACATATAAAGGCCTTAATGAATGATAATTATTATTTTTATAGCAGAAATTCTGTACAAGAAGAGATGAAATTTAATTTACTTTTAAAAAAATTTAGTTATTTGACAGAGAGAGAGACACACAGTGAGAGAGAAGGAACACAAGCAGGGGGAGTGGGAGAGGGAGAAGCAGAGAGCCCAGCAGGGGCCCTGACAGGCCCCGACATGGGGCTTGATCCCAGAACCCTGGGATCGTGACCTGAGCTGAAGACAGATAGATGCTTAACGACTGAGCCACTTGGGTGCCCCTAATTTCCTTTTTGATAAAGGTTAGTTTTATTTGAAATTAAAGACTTGATTTGTTGCATAATTAGTTGCCATCTAAGTTCAAAGATAATTTTTTTAAAGTGGAACTTACTTTTGAAAGATCTATTTATTTATTTGAGAGCGAGAAGGAGAACGCCTAGGGAAAGGGCAGAGTGGGGAGAGAAGCAGACTCCCTGCTGAGTGTGGGGGCCAATGGAAAGATTCTTTCCATCTCACAACCCTGAGTTCATGACCTGATTTGAAATCAAGAGTCACAGGCTTAACTGGCTGAGCCACCCTAGTACCCCTAAAGATAATCTTTTTAAATCATAATTTTAAACCAATTTATTTCTTGTAAGCGCCTTTTTGGTGGCTAGTAACACTGGGTCTTTCTTCTGTTTGTTTGTTTGTTTGTTTTAAAAGATTTTATTTATTTATTTGACACAGAGAGTTCACAAGTAGGCAGAGAGGAAGACAGAGAGAGAGGGGGAAACAGGCTCCCCACTCAGCAGAGAGCCCGATGTGGGGCTCAATCCCAGGACCCTGAGACCGTGACCTGAGCCAAAGGCAGAGGCTTAACCCTCTGGGCACCCAGGTTCCCCAGTACTGGGTTTCATATGTAATTTTCTCTTACTACTTGCTATGGTGCATGTTTATGCATTTGAATAATGTTCAGGCTGAAGTTTTGTGAATTTAAATCCAGAAAAAGATAATTTAATACTATGGCACAGAGACCATGATGAGAAATAGTTAACCATATAAAGCAGCACACCACGGTGTGTACAAATATTGACTCTTAGGCTGTACACCTGAACCTAATATAATGGTATGTGTCAGTTTTATCTCGAGTTTTTAAAAGAACAGCACATTATTATATTTTCCTATTGACCTAGGAAGTGAAACATTGATTAGTCCTGAGATTTGAGTCAGAGTGTATTTGGCATTGAGGTGATGGGGTGGCTCAATTGCTTAAGCATTTGACTCTTCATTTTAGTTTAGGTCATGATCTGAGGGATCTCTCTGTGCTGGTGAGGAGCCTCACACTCATCAGGGAGTCTGCTTACGATTCTCTCTCTCCCTCTTCCTCTGCCCCTGCCTGCCCTTTGCATGCATACCCGAGCCTGCCCCCTGTCCAATAAAGAAAGAAAAAGAAAGAAAGAAAAAAAAAAATTTTTTTTTTAAGTACATTTGCTGTTGATTACAAAAAGTAATAGCTTGGCAGTTGGGCTCTTTCCTTTTTAAAAATCATTTGAATGTCTAGTAATTGTATATATTTTTATTCACACCTTCTCTAGGTAGACATGCTTACTACTTCAACCATTACTAAAAAAAAATTATACTTTGTAATATGTATTATTTTCACATATTTCAAAAGTATATTGGCTTTTTTCGCAACGGGTTTGCCGCCAGAACACAGGTGTCGTGAAAACCACCACTCAACCTAAGCCAGAATGGGGAAGGAAAAGACTCATATCAACATTGTTGTCATCGGACACGTAGATTCGGGCAAGTCTACCACTACTGGTCATCTGATCTACAAATGTGGTGGGATCGACAAAAGAACTATTGAAAAATTCGAGAAGGAGGCTGCTGAGATGGGAAAAGGCTCCTTCAAGTATGCCTGGGTCTTGGATAAACTGAAAGCTGAACGTGAACGTGGTATCACCATTGATATCTCCCTGTGGAAATTCGAGACCAGCAAGTATTATGTGACCATCATTGATGCTCCAGGACACAGAGACTTTATCAAAAACATGATTACAGGCACATCTCAGGCTGACTGTGCTGTCCTGATTGTTGCTGCTGGTGTTGGTGAATTTGAAGCCGGTATCTCCAAGAATGGGCAGACCCGTGAGCATGCCCTTCTGGCTTACACACTGGGTGTAAAACAACTAATTGTTGGTGTTAACAAAATGGATTCCACTGAGCCACCCTACAGCCAGAAGAGATACGAGGAAATCGTTAAGGAAGTCAGCACCTACATTAAGAAAATTGGCTACAACCCCGACACAGTAGCATTTGTGCCAATTTCTGGTTGGAATGGTGACAACATGCTGGAGCCAAGTGCTAACATGCCTTGGTTCAAGGGATGGAAAGTCACCCGTAAAGATGGGAATGCCAGTGGAACCACACTGCTTGAAGCTCTGGATTGCATTCTGCCACCAACTCGTCCAACTGACAAGCCCTTGCGTCTGCCTCTCCAGGACGTCTACAAAATTGGTGGTATTGGTACTGTCCCTGTGGGCCGAGTGGAGACTGGTGTTTTTAAACCTGGCATGGTGGTCACCTTTGCTCCAGTCAATGTTACAACTGAAGTCAAGTCTGTTGAAATGCATCATGAAGCTTTGAGTGAGGCTCTTCCTGGGGACAATGTGGGCTTCAATGTCAAGAATGTATCTGTCAAAGATGTTCGTCGTGGCAATGTGGCTGGTGACAGCAAAAATGACCCACCAATGGAAGCAGCTGGATTCACAGCTCAGGTGATTATCCTGAACCATCCAGGCCAAATTAGTGCTGGATATGCACCTGTGCTGGATTGTCACACAGCTCACATTGCTTGCAAGTTTGCTGAGCTGAAGGAGAAGATAGATCGTCGTTCTGGAAAAAAGCTGGAAGACGGTCCCAAGTTCTTGAAATCTGGTGACGCTGCCATTGTTGATATGGTTCCTGGCAAGCCTATGTGTGTTGAGAGCTTCTCTGACTATCCTCCTCTGGGCCGTTTTGCTGTTCGTGACATGAGACAGACGGTTGCTGTGGGTGTCATCAAAGCAGTGGACAAGAAGGCAGCTGGAGCTGGCAAGGTCACCAAGTCTGCCCAGAAAGCTCAGAAGGCTAAATGAATATTATCCCCAATACCTGCCACCCCAGTCTTAATCAGTGGTGGAAGAACGGTCTCAGAACTGTTTGTGTCAATTGGCCATTTAAGTTTAATAGTAAAAGACTGGTTAATGATAACAATGCATCGTAAAACCTTCAGAAGGAAAGGAGAATGTTTTGTGGACCATTTGTTTTTTTGTGTGTGTGTGGCAGTTTTAAGTTATTAGTTTTTAAAATCAGTACTTTTTAATGGAAACAACTTGACCAAAAATCTGTCACAGAATTTTGAGACCCATTAAAACAAAAGTTTAATGAGAAAAAAAAAAAAAAAAAAGTATATTGATAGTGAGCTTAAAAAAACATTTTACTTAAAGTAACTTAAAATTTCCTTAAAATGACATTTTAAGTCTTTTATTCAGTTCTTTAAACAATCATCTGTTGAGTAGTTTCTTTTTTTTTTTTTTAAGATTTTATTTATTTGACAGAGAGATAGAGATCACAAGAAGGCAGAGAGATAGGCAGAGAGAGAGGGGAAAGCAGGCTCCCCACTGAGCAGAGAGCCTGATGCAGGGCTTGATCCCAGGATCCTGAGATCATGACCAGAGCCGAAGGCAGAGGCTTAAGCCACTGAGCCACCCAGGTGCCCCTGTTGAGTAGTTTCTATGTGCCAGTCCAGGGTTTTGAATGTTTGAGATACATCAGTGACCACTCCCAGCCCCAATCCTTCTCCTTGTGTATGTTGCATTTAATAAACAAAAAATATGGTAACTTCTGTATAATACAAGGTGGTAGATGCTATGGGAAAAACAGAGCAGAGTAAGAGGGGTTGGGAATGTGAGGGTAGGGTAGAGGAGATGAGTTGTGGTTTTCAAAAGGGTGGACACGTTAAGCTTCATTGAGAAGGTGTAATTTGAGCAGAGGACTTAAAGGTTGGGCTCATGAATCATGCTGACTTCTGGGAAGAGAGTATTTAAGACCAAGGCGCCAACAAAGCAAAGGCCCTGAGGCAGGGTGTTTATAGTAGTACAATTAAATCTTGACTTGATATTTTTAAAAAAAATGAATGTTTCTTTATAAATATTTATTGATTTGTTCTTATATGTTTTTGGCAAAAGTGCTGACATGGGAGACACATTATGAAGAAAACAAAAACTATGTGCTTTCAACCTAAAATCCACAAGAAAAGGTAAAATAATGTGATCATATATAGCTTTAATGCAGATTGTAAAATAGCATGATAGCTTTCATTTAATGCAGTTTGTACAACAGCGTGAAAGTTCTGCAGTGTCTTGATTTTCAGCAAAGGAAAGACCCATTCTGCCTTATGAGTGATCATGTTAATGCAGACCATTCAGCCTTGCCTATGAGGATAAGCTTGAGAAGTGATGGAAATCAGAGAATGGGAACAGTTGGCTAGGAAAGGAGAAACATGTGCAAAGTCTAGGTAAGAAGTTGTGATGCAGACCCCCGTCCAGGACAAAGGTGGTTTACTTGGAAATACATTGGAAAGGACATGGGTTCAAGAGGGATGATAAGGATCTGATGACTAAATGTGTAGGAGAAATTGAGTGGAGAGAAGCAGTAGTTGGCAGGGATAACTTCCAGGCACGCTCATTTGCAGCCAGTGTCAATCAGTTGCTGTCACCCACAGCCAGCATCTACACCGTCCGTGCCCGTACCATCCCAGTGATTCCTGCTTCCAAGTGTCAGACTTGGGTAACGGAGTAATGATGGAGGCCTTCCTGGTGCTTTGTGATTAACTTTCTTTCATGTTTTTTGTAATGTATTGTTATCTGGATTCTCTGAAGAATCAGGTGATTTCAGAATTTGCAGTGTAATGTTTTCCTTTGTACGTAGCAGTTCAGTGAGACATTCGCCTGGGTTTCAGTATCTTTTTGAAGAGGTTCTTTGAGGTTTGTTTGAATCAAAAGATCAGTAGATTTAAAAAAAATTAAAGACACAGACTCATGTTTTAAGCCTGGGCTGTGCAACCCAGTAAGCCTGTGACCTTGGACAAATAAGTGTCTGGGGACATCAGTTTATCAAAAATGAGTGACTATGCTAGGCAATCTCTAAGACCCTTTACAGACTCTAGGATTCCAGGAAATCCACAACTTAGCAACCAACGATCTAGACCTCCAGCTGCTTTCATAAGTAGGAACGGTAGTCACCAATCCTGATTATCCCACTAACTTTGATGAGATGAGCTATCGGCAGTTTCTGATTTCGGCATGAAGCTTTTTTGTTCAGAATAATTTTGTCAATTTAAGTTTTGAGCCAGAAAAATAACTACAGGCAACTAGATATTTAATTAAACTGATCTCTCATGTAATTTGCTGTTTAATGTTACAGTAGAACTTTTGTTGTATTTAGCTGTTAGTGAAAGTATGCGCTCTCTTTCGCTCTCTGTGAAGGGTAATGGGGGCATAGGGGACTTGAGCAGCTTTCTTTATGTAATACATCAGTGTTCTGGCTTCAGGTTTTGGCCTTGAGCACGATATTCCCCATTCATTGAATAACTTCCAAGGGCCTTTGTCCTTAAGATTCTGAAATTTGCCAGAAGCAGGCTTGAAAGTTGTTGCATTCAAACTTGTGTATCTTTTTTCTTTTACCTTCTCCCTGCCATCCTCTTGGGAGAGATATTATTAAAAAAGCTACTGCATCTGGTTACTTGCATTTGGTGTTGGAAGACTCGGGGTAGGAAAGCAAAAAAAAAAAATGTGTTACCATCCTCTAAAGAAAGATGAGGACAGGTAAACCATTAAACACCCAGGCAAACCTAGAGAGGAAGCAGCCAGCCCTGTGGTTTATGTGGGGAAAGACCTTGAAATTGGCTTGCATGTGTTTTGTTTATGAACCTGAATTTGAAAGAGTTTATGGAAAGTATTTGTAGACCTCAGTTTGGTTGTTTTTTTTTTTTTTGAAGGTATTTTCAATCTAGAGAGGTTGAAAGCTGCTGCTGTTACACAAACCTCATCTTTTTTCTTGCTTCCATGTATTGTGACACATGTCAGTCTTCTTAGAAATATGACTAAGGGTTCTAACAGAGTTTGGAGTTGAGGCTGAGAGTTTGCAGCTGAAGTATCCCTTCCTACCCATTTCATAAAAATACACGTGGTCAGAGAAGGTTAGGGTCATTAGGCATTTGAGAGGAGGGGGAAAAGGCACCTACCCTTCCAATTCCTGGGTGGAGAGAATGTTCCATATTTTGGTAGCCAGAGAAGCCTCTTTCCATAATTTATAGACAGTCAAGAATAATTATTTGAACTCTGCAGCACACATTGGCAGAATTTGCAATGAAGGTTGATCAAAACCAAAAGGCAGGTCAGTCACTGAACCAGTAGTTCTCAAACTGTGGTCCATGAGATTAGAGCTATTTTCATAATAATAGTAAGATATTATTTGCCTTTTTTACTCTCATGTTCTAATAAGTGTACCGATTGAATGCGGAAGCAGATATGAAGATCCAACGATCTTCTCGTAATGAGATTTGCAAAAAATAGGGAAACAGTGCAAATCTTTCCGCTTTATTTTTTGTTTTGTAAAGTACAGATATTTTAATAGTGTGCTTTATATGACTGTCATACATTTTATTGTTATTTTAATGAATTCATATTTTAAAATTTTCTCAGTTTCAATTTCAATATGTTAAAAATCAATAAATACAACCCATGGAGTCCTTAATAACTCCTAAGAGTAAAGGGAACTAGAGAATTTGAGAACTGCTAATTTAAGCAGAAGACAGCAAAGAGATCCACGTATTCCAGGTCACTGATTGCTGAAGTGTAAAGACAGTCATAAGTAAGAACATAAGAATCTTCAAGGGTCTTTCTTAGTGTCATCCATATGGAATTTCAGATTTTTAGAACTTGTGTGGGAAGGAAAAATAACACACATTGAAAGCAAGTCCAGCGAGAGCACGAGACATATTGGTAGAAAGGGGCCAAATGAGAACCTCATGGGTTAGGTGGAGACTCCTTTGTCCTCACCCCATGGACTAGTGACCTTCTTTTCATAGACAGGAAAGAACAGTTAGAAACCATGAAAAGAGTGGCCCTCTTGACCTTTTGCCTTCTATGAAAGGATTAGGAAATGAAGTTGTTCCCCACCCCCCACCTTTAATAATTTGAGCAGAAGTCACTACTTTCCTGGAATTTCTTTTCAAAACTCTAAATTTCTCAATAATGTTGAAAACACTGCAATTTTATAGCATAAAAACGGCCTTCAAAATAAGGTCAACTTCTGTAAAATTAGGCTTATTTTGTTTATCATTATGGATTTTCTGTTGATTATATGTTTCATCTGATTTCAGAAAGTTTTTGTGAAGGCTTGCAAGAATATACATAATAAACTAAATGTGATGGAATTTAAGAAACAGAGCAGATGAACTACGGGAAGGGAAGGAAAAACAAAATAGGACAAAAACAGAGAGGAGACAAACCATAAGAGACTCTTAACTCTAGGAAACAAACTGAGGGTTTCCAGAGGGAGGTGGATGGGGGGATGGGGTAACTGAATGATGGGCATTGAGGAGGGCCCTTGGTGGAATGAGCACTGGGTGTTATATGCATCTGAGGAATCACTGAACTCTACCTCTGAAACTAATAGCATGCTATATGTTAATTAAATTTAATTTAAATAATTTTTTTAAAAAACCTGAAAGTGAAAACATAAATATTGGAATCAAGACCAGGGAACCTATTTGCGTATATGTGCCCCAAAATATGGAGATAGCCATAATTAAGGGACGTAGAATATTCAAGCATGTGTGTTTTACATGGTGTGCTCATGTGAAGATGGACCAGATGTGTATGTCATACACAGTGTCTGCCCCTGCTCAGCCTCTTCCGTGGTGAAAGAATGGTCCCATATGGGCCTTCAAGAAAAGGTGGAAGTGGCCATGTTTTGTAGCTCATGACCCCATTTTCTCTTGAATATTAACTGATTGAACTGAGAAAGGATGCTGGCCTGAAGACTGGCCGGGGGGCTTGTATGGACTGGCTCGCATCTGAGTTAGAAAAGATATGTAGGCTGTTCAGATTCCTGCCTTAAATTTGCACCTAGAAGTACCAAGAGAGCAAGCCAGTGGGTGGAAGGTGAAAATGAAAGGTCATGTTGTAGACAGGGGATTGGGGAGGCTGTGATGGCTACATGCAGGCTCCAGTTATGAGGGAACAGAAGCTGAGTTGCCAGAAGAGACTGTGTGGTTGAGAAGGGTAAGAGATTGCACTTGGAGAAAAAAGACACAGAGATACCAGGAGAGAAGCCTGGAGGCTGCAAGAGAGAGGGTGGGCAAGTGCAGCATTAGTGGTCAGCAGGCTTCCCTCTATGGCCTCTGTCTCTTTGCCGTAAATCCTCTTTTTATTGGCTTGAGTTCCTGGCAACCAAAAGACCCTGAGTGGAACCTAGACTACCACATCTATGAAGATGATAATGACTAGCATGTTTTGTATGATTAAGACTTGACTTTGATTCTCAACTACCTGATAGCCGAGGCAAAAGGGAGACATTGTGCATTCTGAAATCATACAATAAAAAAGAAGGTAGTTTTAAAAGTACTAGTAGTTTTCAAACACTGAATTTAAATTCAATCACCCTCTTATGTATAGAGGTTCCTTAAAAATTAAAAATAGAATTATTATATGATCTAGCAATCCCACTTGTAAATATATATACCCAAAAGAATTCAAAGCAGGACCTACAAGAGAGATTTGCACACTCATATTCATTGCAGCATTATTTACAATAGCCAAGAGGTGAGAGCAGCCCAGATGTCCATTGAAAGGTGGATGGATAAAGAAAAGGTGGTACATACATGCAGTGAAATATCATGCAGCCCTAAAAAAGGAAATTCTGTCACATGCTGCATTGATTAACCTTGAGGACACTAGGCTAAGTGAAATAATCCAATCACAAAAGAACAAATGCTGTCTGATTCCCTTTGTATGAAATATCTGAAGTATGAAAGAAACAAGAAACAAAATCAATGAAACAAAAAGTTAGGTAGTTGGTTATCAAGGAAGCAGGGGTGGGGGTGGGGTGAAG